CAATTTTTCATAATTTTTTTACTATATGACGTTTGAGTATTTTACATGATCTACAAATTGATTTGTAAGAAAGGTCCAATAACTATTTGCAATTTCACAATTGAGATTAGATATGAGATGGCATCTAATTGAGAATAGTTTAAGCATCCCATTAAGTAATCAATTTTGCTCCCAATTTTAACCTCATTCACTCCCTCACCATGTTCTTACCTTTAACATTAAATTTTTATTAAAAACTGCTATAGTTTGCAATTGAAGAGCATTAACAACATTCAAAATTATGAATTTCCTTTTTCCAACTCTAGGCAGGCTGAATTGGCAACTAAATCTCAGCTCCAAGGGCCCAAAGGAGATAAGCCCAAAGTAAGAAAGGACTTAGACACTTGGCTGATAATCTTCCAAGGATTATTCCAACTTCAAATAAGAACCCAAGTCCCACTTCCATTAGACTTTTTTTTTTCATTTTTTCCTAATAGAAGAGAAGTAGGATTTAAGAAGCGAAAAAAGAATAGGGAGATTAAAGCCCAAAACTCTAATTCTTTGGATTTTAACTTTAACCACTAGATCAATGCCTTTTCAGCTCACTTCCATTAAGACATACCACTTCTATTTGAACCGCGCTGCATTTTACGACATACCACTTCTTTTTCTTTTTCTTTTTTTTTTTTTTTTTTTTTGCTTTAAGGGAAGAGATTACAGTCTCTAGACCAAAATAAATCTCAGAGTAGCACCTCCAATGATATCTGCAGCGAGCGTGTGCTTCAAGTCTTCCGGTGGTTCTTCTATACTTTCTTGGACCATTTGAGATCTCACGCTTTCCTTAGCAAACCAATTTGCGCTCTTATTTCCTTCCTACCATCCATGATTCAACTTACAGCTCCAATTCCTTTGGATCAGCTCCTGTATCTACTTAATCAAATTGTAATGTGGGGGCATACCACTTCTATTTACAGTCAAGTCCTTTCTACACGTTTATGTCAAAAATAAATAAAAGTTTTGAACCGTGTTGCATTTTTTATTTACACTGCTAACTGTATTGAATTCCGAATTTGGTCGCTTTACTTCTTCCTCGGAAAAAAATTGGTGGAATTAGGATGGGGGATGCGTCTACAATGCAGAAATAATTCTGATATTTGTTGTGGTAAAATTTAGTTTGAACCATAAAGTGGACTTGTGTGTGATTTGGCTGATGGATCGTACTTACAAGAAGTGAGACAATTTAAGATGTAGTTATTGGATATCGGTTATAGAAGTAAAAGCCTTCATTTGACCAACCAAAAAAAATGATAAATTATTTGAAGGGTGAAAAATGAATCTAACATATAAGGACACGTATGGTTGCTGACATCAAGTCTTATTAGTCTTATGAAAAGTCTTACGCTTGTCGACATAGAAGAGTCTTGTGATAATGTGTGGCGGGTGAGGCAATCCAACACCATCTACTTGAGTTCATCCATTGAAAGAGGTTGTGGAGAAAACTATCCATCAAGTAAGCATAAAGGCGGCGACAATAGTAGTAGCAGAGAGATACAAATCCAAGAGAAAGCTGAAAATTATGAGGAGATGGAGATCGACTCAACTATTTTGAAAGATGCACATTTGAGATAAAGAAAAGTCAGAAACAACTTATGGACGTCATGGTGGGTTATCCAAGTCCCTGAATTATCTAGAGTCTGGATAAATGAAGGAGCTGCAAAGAATTAGTGCGGGCTACTGTGATGGTTGTGCAATTCACTATAGAGCAGAGAATGCTGAGTGAAAGTGAGCAGGAAATCAAAAATAGGATATGATTCACTATGTTGAAAAAATATAATCACATTCCTAGCACACCAGTACAATCCATGAAGCAAATGATGGTTAAGAGTGGGGGAAAAAGAGAGAGTCATACGGTTATCAGCGTTGAAAAAGGTAACAACTTTGGTGACCTTATGGCCTCCTCAACTAAAGAGTACAACTCTCGAAAGACAAAGTAGGGGACTATTAGTGTCCAGGAGAATGAACCCATAAGAAAGATCTCGAAAAATCACCGAAATTGGTGAGCTAGATTCGGAGATTTCATCAAACTGAACAAACGAATACAAAGTCAAGAAACAACACCTAGCAGGGCACATGAAAGAAAACCTAAGGACTACAGGAAGGTTATCAGTATATACCCAAAGAAGGAATGAAGCACGAAGAAGAGCGGAAGGAGCTTTAGAGGTAAGAAACTGATATTGAATAATGTGAATTAAATTGCTCATCCATAATAGTAAAACGAGACACTCATATGCAAACTTTAACCTTTGTTTTGAGCTTTCTAGACAATAAGAGGAGAGAGAGTTGATAATTGCAAAACTGCTAGTGTTGTGGTTCATGATTTTCTCATGAATATGAATTGCCGCTGGAGTAAGTGAAAGTTGCCTAAAATTATATTGAAACATATTGCCGTGTGGTATTGATATGCATACATATATAGCTGACTAAAAAAAAACACGTGCAGGCAGGCCGTCGTTACAATTAGAGGCCAAGTAGCTAACCGAGAGCATATTCTTTGTTTGTTGCCTTGTATGTGTGTCGAAACTGAGGTAAATCTCACATAATTAAGTATATTTAACACAAAATATTAATAGTGAAAAATTAGTATACTGACAATGTGTTCCTCTAGATTGTTAATTGTTACTTTGCTTTGCTCACGGCACGTGCAAGGAGAAATTCTGGAATGCATCATATCGCGGGTGGTACATGTCGAGTTGGTCAGCGGTAAGTCTCTTAAGAACATAAATTGAGCTCAATGATCATTTCCGTAAGGTCCATTGCTTGGTAGAAGGAGTCAGCACCTCGTGTGATTTTGGATTTGGGCTAATATTTGCAATTGTTTGTTGAAGGAAATGGTGACAAAAAATGAGATGAGTTGTATATCTATTATCTAACTGAGGACAAAGTTGGTGGCTTGATTATAGAGTGTGAGAAGGTAAGAAGTTTCATTAGTTATTAATGAATGGGATATATTAAAAATATGGATTAGTAATTTCATTCATTGTTGATATTTGTAGATTTGAATACCACTGAATTGGGATGGAAAACACTGGTGTTTGGCAGTCATTTACTTGAAGAAGAATAAGGTTATGATATTCAACCCATATCCTGACGAAGATTTCAATGAATTGCGGTTGATGAATGCAAAGATGGTGGCAAGAAATGAAAAGTCTTACATGATATATTTCATCAATGTATGATATTTGATGTGCGTAGAATGAAGAGTTTAAAATGATTCAGAGCTACTGGTATTGTCATCTTTTGTAGTGTTCAAAAATTAGTGGTGCACTATATATAAGGACCGAAGACAATCTAAGAGGGGAGATGAATTAGGTGGTTTAAAAAACTTGCCAAGATATGAATCACCTTTTCAGTATTTGTCCTCTTTTTCTAAACGACCACACAATCGAGCAATAGAAGAGAAAGCACAAGTGCTTGTGAGTAGAAGAGATGAACAGTTTTATATTAAAACAGTAAGTAAAAGGGGATAGAATACCAAACCAAATGTCAAACTCCTCTTGAGTTTGGATATCACTTTATACAGCAAGTTTTTTCAAGTCGATCAACTTACAATCAATCTTTTGTGTACAAGGGCAGGATCACTTCCTCCTTGCCCCAAGCCATACTTGGTCAAGCAATGAAGTTTTACAATCACTCGGATAACCTTCATAAAACTACACTATTGAAGTAGTTGACTCACACTAGAAAAGCTTATTGAAAGTTACACAACTAAGAGTACAAATCTTCTTTTTGAAGAGTATTCTCACACTTGAATCACTCTTGATTGATGTAGTCTCAATGTGTAAAATCCCTTTGAAGTGGTTGACTTTGTTCTATTTATATGGAACCAAGAAGTTCCTCAATTAATGCTTCCAATGGATAGAAGGTAACTGAAGAGTCAACTAGCCGTTGGTAGTGTTGGACGTTTGGTAGATCAACTTCTTGCGTCCGAACGTAGGCAGTGAGTTCAAGAAATCCTCTTGAATTATATCGGACGTCTGGTACCTTTAATGTATGCGTCCGAAGGTAGGAGGTGAAACTGGGAGTTCTTCTTTAATTCTTTTCGAACGTCCAATCCCTCCAAGGTTTTGCGTCCGAAGTGGCACAACTCTTGTCGGACGTCCGGTGCTTTGAGGATGTGCGTCTGATCGAGGTCAGTGAGTTTAGAGAGAATGACTTAATATCTTCGGACGTTCGAGGGTGAGGTTCTTCATTCGTTCGAAGTTGTGCAAAGGTTGTCGGACGTCCGATCCAGTCTTCTTACGCATCCGACAGCAGTTTCAGCATCCTTTGTGCTTTAATCTTTGAATCTTTTTGCTCCATTTTTTAAAGAGTCTTTTTGAGAGAACATTAGTAATCATCCATTTATTTTGTAATCATCAAAAGCTATGGACTGAGATAAACAATCTCCTCCTTTTTGATGATGACAAAACAATGGATCAAAGAAAATAAAATTGGGACACAACTCTCCCTTACTTGATGCAGTCCTCTCACAAAAGATTGGGCACAACTCCCCCTTAGAATGACTCCCCCTTACTTATACATCCATTTCTCCCCCTTTTTGTCATCATTTAAAACAACCAGAATCTGATCATCAATATTAGAGTCCAGTATTCAATATTAGCATTCAAGACTACCAAGCTAAAAACACAGCATCAGCAATTTTTTTGGCAATTGTTAACAACAGAAATTAGCAATCACTTATCCAGTTAATACTATCATCAATGCTATCAACAGCAGCAATATTGGCAACAGTCAGCAATAATCAACAGCGGTCATTATCAGAATTTTAAGGCTAAACAGAGTTAAACAACATTCATCCAAAATAGAGAGATAACACAAACGATGCCAAAGTAGAATCCTTAGTATAGAACACAGACTGTTTATAATGTAAAAGATGCCAAAAGTTTAGAAGTGCCAAAATGAAGTGCATTTGCCTAGAGGTGCGTAAAAGGTGATCTTGAAGGATCTAGGCATTCTCCTTGTTAGGCGAAAGAAGGATCTTCTTCCTCTTCAGTGTCCTCATCATCATCATCATTATCCTCTTCAGTCTCTGCTTCAGTTGCTAGAGCTTTTCCTTTATTCTGTGACTGAGAACTGGAGCACGGTGCTCTGGTAGTTTCAGTAGTGGGCTCAGTTCTGAGCTCCTTTTGGTATGCATTTTTATTTTCTTGAGGAATTGGAGGCATAAGCAGATTCCTTTTAGCAATGAAGGTGTTTGTTGATCGGATGTCATGGTCATCATCAGGCCATCTTCAAGAAGTAGGACGTGTTGTTTGAGGTTCTCAAGCAGAGAGATGACTTCAAAGTTGGATGAAGAAGACTTGGTGGCTGACTTTCTAGGATGGATGGTGAAGGGTGACACATATATGGACTAATCACGAGGGGTCATAGGGGTAACAAGAGTTTCATGAAAGTTCTTTCTCCTAAACTTTGAAACAGTTTCCTTGTAACACCAATGCCCCTAAAAAATTTAAGATTTTTCCTTTCAAAATAAGCCTTGAAGAAAACAGTTGATGCACCCTGTTTTGGAGATTTTCCAATAAAGGGGATTTGAAAGTGAGCAAAAATAGGAGTTAAAAATTTTTTATGGAAAGTTTCCTACGACTATCAGTGCTTATTTTGAGCAAAACTGGCACATGACAAAGTCAGAATCAATTTTGATTTTTTCAAAAAAGTAGTAGAACATATAAAGTTCCATTTTGTTGGTTTCAATCCTGTGACCATCAGTAGGCACCAACAGATTTAAAATTATGAAAAAAATGATCAGATTTTGAGGACTGAGATCTTCCAATCTAACCTCAGAAGGAGTATTGAAATGGGTTTGAAAATAGGTCATCAATTTTGCAACATAAAAGTGATAGTAGGCAGAAGAAAATTCTTTGTATGAAAAGAAGTTTGCAATTTTTTTTTTATAACCATCTTCAATTTTGGTTTCCAAAACAATGTTGACAATGTCAGGATTCAGTTCTATGTTAACACAGTTGACACGTGAGATGAGATCAGTATGTGACTTGCCCTACCTAAGGTTGGCAAAAAATTGATGAAACATGTCAGGATAGTATGTGTTTGGAATGGTCAGAAGATGGGTCCATTTTTGGAATTCAAAAAGGTTGAGAACAAGTTCAATGTCAAATTTATGGAATTCGTGGGGGATAATGGTCCTCTGAATGATGAAACCTTTCTGTGAGATCCATTCGAACCTCTCCCTGGCATCATCAACAATGAACTTGGGCAAGGGAGTGGTTTCCTCTGCAGTTTGAGCCTCAGGTTGCTCATTTGCAGGACGCTTTCTTTTTCCAGTGCAATGAGTAGTTGGCACAGTACTCTGGACACCAGATCTCGTCCTTGGTGACTTCCTGGTAGATGGTTCAGCAGTTTGCTGTTCCTCAACATTTTTTTCTGCATCCTGCTGTTCCCCTGAAGGATCAGCAGTTTTCCTTTCCCTGGGTTAAGCAATGCTCTTCCTTTTGGTGGTCCTATTTTCCTTCCTGGGTGATTTCATGACGATTATATCTTCATTGGTGGGTTGCTCCAGTTCCTCTTCATTGCCACTGACTGGATGCTCTTCAGATTGTTGTTCCTCCATCTGCTCATCAGTTGATTCAACAGATGGTTCTGTGGTTTGAACAGTCTGCATTTTTTTTGCAGACTGCTTCGTTTTTCCACCACGATTTCCAGTTCTCTTTTTGGGTGACTTGATGGAAGGTTTGACAACTTGAACATCTTCATCCTCTTCATCTCTAAGGCTAAAGATGCGTCCGGCACTCACAGACCCTCCTCTAATCCTCACCATGAGTGCAATGCAGTGTATTTTTTATGTGGTGTGTAATGCAAATAAGTGTCAAAGAATTTGAAAGTGCAATATGAACTACAATGGATGTTAGAATTCGTCCACAGAGAGTAAATTTGGGTGGTTAGAGTTTGGGGTTAGAATTAGGATTTATAGTGCAGTTGGAAGTTGGGAGAAGTTATGATGTGCAATTAACTCGGAATAGCTATGTAATTGTGACGGTCAGAGTGATTACTTGGAAATTGTTCCGAAGAGAGATGAATTTGAATTTTGAAATTCAAAAAATATGAAGGGTTGCATCCGAGACGAGGGGTGAGGATGAACTGAATGACACAGAGGACTTCCTTATAAGATGCAATTTTTGAGTGTCGGACGGCCGAATGAAGTAAAACATCCGACATGACCGTCCGAACCAGAATTTTCTGAAAAAATGATCAAGAACACTGTCGGACGTCTGTTCTAGCACATCGGACGTCCGATAAAGAATGACCTGAGAATTTTTAGAGTATTTTTTCTGAAATGTCCAATTTTGTTCTCAAAGACACAAATTGATCCAGTGGTAAGACTTTTGTGAGAATATCAGCAATTTGATCTTTTGAACAGACATATTGAGCACAAATTTCACCCTTATGGATAAGATCGCGAATGAAATGATGCTTTATGTCTATGTGTTTTGTTCTAGAATGTTGGATGAAATTTTTTATCAAATTTATTGCACTAGTGTTATCACAATACATAGGCACATAATCATACATCAATCCAAAATCATTCAATGTGTTTTTCATCCACAATAATGGAGCACAACAAGCACTGACATCAATATATTCTGCTTTAGTTGTAGACAGAAAAATAGCATTTTGCTTCTTACTACACCAAGATACTCAGTATTTTTCAAGAAAGGTACATATACCAGTTGTACTTTTTCTATCTACCCTACACCCGTCGAAGTCAGCATTCGAGAATCCATATAAAGGAAATTCAAGACACTTAGAATACCATAAGTCAAAATTCACAGTTCCTTTTAGATATCTAAGAATTCTTTTTACCTCATTTAAGTGAGATTCCTTTGGACAGGACTGAAAGCGAGCACACAAGCATATAACAAATTTGATATCAGGTCTACTAGCATTTAAGTAAAGCAAGCTACCAATCATACCTCTATAATTTTTTTCATCAATTTTTGTACCTTCTTCATCCTTGTCAAGCTTAGTAGAGGTGCACATGAGTGTTCCAACTTACTTTGAATCTTCCATTCCAAATCTTTTGAGCAGCTCCTTAGTGTATTTTGCTTGATTAATGAATGTTCCTCCTTGGGTTTGAACCACTTGAAATCCAAGGAAGAAATTTAATTCTCCCATCATACTCATCTCAAACTCTTTTTGCATTATTGTGGAGAAATCCTTGCACAAACTCTCATTAGTAGCACCAAATAATAATGTCATCTATAATATTTGCACAATTAACAGATCATGTGTACTTTGTTTAGTGAAAAGAGTGGTATCTACAATTCCTCTTTTAAAATCATTTTCAATCAAAAAATCACTTAAAACGTTCATACCAAGCCCTTGGACCTTGTTTTAATTCATACAAAGCTTTTGAGAGTTTAAACACATGATTAGGATAAATCTCATTTTCAAAATCAGAAGGTTGATCAACATATACTTCTTGATCAATAAAGCCATTTAGAAAGGCACTTTTTACATCCATTTGAAATAGTTTGAAATTCTTGAAACATGCAAAAGCCAAAACATTCTAATTGAATCTAACCTAGCTACGGGTGCAAATGTTTCATCAAAGTATATTCCTTTTTCTTGAGCATATCTCTTGGCTACAAGTCTGGCCTTATTTCTAATAACCTCACATTTGTCATTCATTTTGTTTTAAAAACCTATTTCATGTCAATGATAGGATGATTTTGAGATCTTTCAACCAATGACCAAACCATGTTCATTTCAAATTGATTTAGCCCATCTTCCATAGTTAAAATTCAGTTCTCATCTTTCAAGGCATCAATAACATTCTTGGGTTTGAAATGTGAGACTAATGCAAAATTATCCATCAATTGTTTAAAGGAGGAACGAGTTCTGATCTTTTCTGATGGATCACCAATGATGAGCTCCTTAGGATGGTTTTGAGCAAATTTTCAGGCTCTTGGAAGATCGTTAGATGTACTTACATCTTTGTCACTGTCTTCCGGTGCTGGAATGTCTTGAGAATCATCTTCTTTTGAGTCATTTTCTGGTGAAACAATGTCTTGGTCATTGATTGAGAGTTTTTTTAGTTCTTCTCGAACACCTGCATCATCATCTTCACCATTACTTTAGAAATATCACCATTAAATTCATCAAAAGTAATGTGTATAGCTTCTTCAATAATCAGTGTCCTTCGATTGTAAATTCTAAAACCTCTCTTATTCTCACAATACCCCAAGAAAATTTTTTCATCAGATTTTTTATCAAACTTACCAAGATATTCCTTGATGTTCAAAATGAAACATTTGCAATCAAAAACTTTGAAGTATCCAATAACAGGTTTATTATCAAACATCAACTCATAAAAGGTTTTGTTCAAGATTGATTTTAAAAGGATTCTATTCATAGTGTAGCAGGCTGTATTTATAGTTTCAACCTAAAAATATTTTGGTAAGTTGCACTCACTTAACATGGTCCTAGCAGCCTCTTGAAGTGTTCTATTCTTCCTCTCAACAACCCCATTTTGTTGGGGAACTCTTGCAATTGAAAATTCATGTGTAATGTCATTGTTATCGCAAAATTCTGGAATGCCACAAAAATGAAATTCTGTGCCATTGTCATTTCTGATCTTGATGATTTTTAACCCAATTAGATTTTGAACCTTAGCAAATAATGAAACAAAGTTTTGAAAACATCATCTTTGTGTGCAAGAAACATCACCCAAGTGTATTTAGAATAATCATCAACAACAACAAGGCAATAGTTTTTGCCACCTAAACTAGTGGTTTGTGTGGGACCGAATAAGTCAAGATGTAAAAGTTCCAAAGATTTTGTGGTAGAAACACATTTCTTGGGTTTAAAAGAAACATTGACTTATTTTTCAAATTGACAAGCATCACAGATTTTATTCTTTTCAATTTTGATTTTTGGCAATCCTCTAACCAGTTCCTTTTGAAAATCTCTTTTAGCAAATCAATATTAAAATGACAAAACCTTCTATGCCACAACCAAGTGTCTTCATTTGCAACTTTAAGATATTTAAAACTAGAAGAATCAACATTTTTTAGAATTACTACATAAATGTCATTAACTCTTTTTCTTTTGAAGATAGTGTTGAACTTTAAATCAAGAATAAGACATTCATGCTTTTTAAATAACACAAACAGATTTCTATCACATAATTGACTAACACTTAATAAGTTATATCTCAGATTATCAACTAAAAGAATATTATGAATAAAGGTTTGACCATTCTTACTAATATCAACAACTCCAACAGTTTTGACTTTGTTATCATCTCCAAAAGTTACCTTTTCACTTGCTTTTGGTTTGAGTTTGATGAATTGTGATGGATCACCAGTCATATATCTTGAGCATCTACTATCTATGAACCATTTTAATTCATTGATAATATTTATCAAGTTCGCCTACACAAAAATTCACATGATAATATTTGGTACCCTTTACTTTTTGGGTCCTTGAGAGTTAGCATTATATTTAACTATTCACATGCATTTCATACCATTTATCATATTCTTCCTCACATAACAATTACTCTTCATATGACCAATCTGACAACAAAAACTGCACATAGTCAGTGAGTTACTTGCATGGACAGGTTTAATAAATCTGATTTGTGTGATACCCCGAAAATTAGGAGTTTATTTGTAAAGAAAATACTAAAGTGTATATTTTTTGGTTTAATTTAAACCTTATTTCTTTTTTTAAAAGATTAGAAACCCTAAAATTTTAATCAAAAATCCTAATTTACTTGTGACCAACCGGTTTTCTTAAATCCCTCATATTTTAATTGAAACCCTAATTTTAATCACTGAAATTGTAAAATTCCTCACATTTTTTTCTTAAAAATGCCTTTTATTTGAAAATTATTCATTTACTATGGCCCTACGACCCAATCATTCCTCAATAGGTGCAAATGAACCTAGGAAGTAGGGTTTCACTTTTCGTTTCCAAGTTAAGAGCGAATTAGGGCTTCAGTTTTTCCGTAGTATGATTATTCGGTACGGAGTGAGGATTAAATTTGATAGGTAAAAGTGACTTTTGGATGAGGAAATACTATATGACTAGAAGTGATAATAATAAGATAGTGATTATAAGCTAAAAATCCTAGTATACACGATTTAAGAGAAATCGCGTCAAATCGATGGTACCGCGCACTACCAATTGAACGCACCACTTGATCACCACTTTCTTACCACATGAACTCATTAATACTTGAGCAAATATTTCCTTATTTCCAGCTAGCTTTGACCGAAATTTTGGGGCTGAAATTGCAAGAAAGAAAAAGAAATTTTGCTTGGTAATTGGTGGTGACAAGTGTCACACCATTAAGGGTCTTGACCAAGACCAATTGTCCAATCTTCTTATCACCTTGGAGCTGCACTTCTTCTTCATTTTTTCTGTTGTGTGGCCGAGAGAGAGGGAGAGAAAAACCCAAGTGAGAGCTGCCATTTTTATCTTGAGTTTGTGAGTGTTAAGTGAGCAACTAAAATTCTAAACCAATTAAAGAGTGAGTTGTGAGCTTGAGAAGCTAGGGGAACCAAGAATTTCAAGAGGAGGTGAAGTATCACTCTTACAAGCTTCATTTGTTGAGGTACAAGGCTAAACCATGGCTTTGGTTCTTTTATTTTTGGTTTAAGTTGTTATATAATGCTTGTTTTGGTGGGATTAGTGGTGATACAAGTTGTTATGATGATTTAAAGGTGATTTATGTGAGTTAGGGTTTGAGGTATTTGCTACCTATCCTTGCTATATGGATGATGTATGTTGTATTTAAGCTTATATAAGTGG